GGCTCACCGAGTTTTATAAAAAACGAAACAATTCAAACGATGTGCTGATGTTGTGGACTGCCGTCAGTGTAATATAAAACAAAAATGCGGAACAGCATTCACACGTGATATGGTATATAGGTAGGTACTGAACGTCGACTCCATATGATGCTGTAGTGCCGTCACAAATATTTATGTCGATTCCGCTGGAATAATATATGGTCAACAATAATAAAATATTTGTTAAAGTTGTCTAATTTTCATATTGCGTTGACCCAAAAATATATAGTTGAGTGTGTTAAATTAAGTTTTTAGAGACGCATTTAGAGTTTTTTCGCCCAGAGCTATTTCATTTTTATTCGCCTTCTCCTACAGTTATAAATGTCAATAATTGATGAGAATGAAAATTAATTTTATACATGTAAAGAAGTTAGGTATATAACTAAAAAGAAAAAATACATTGCCAATAGAGAAAAAACGTATTTTTATATTTTATTATCAAAGAACAGCACTTAAGAATCAAGACAGTGCTTTTCTGTTCGTCGGAACATAATAACTTGATTGAGGCTGTTGAAAGTGAACCATTTTTAAGGGGTCAGATTAAGGCAATATCCTATATCCATCGTGAGTGATGTGTGACCAAATGTGTTCCCTGTACACTTCATGTGATTAAGGATGAACTGCGACTAAGATTTTTGGACATCTTATCTACATACGCGCAGTCACACCTCACACATTTCAATATTTTGTGATCAAAAGAGTTCCAACATGAGAGTCCTAGAAGGTAAAAAAAATTCACATAGTTCCAAAAGCCCGATTTTAATTTTGAAAACATATTTGAATTCCTTATTCTCTTTTCTAGGTTATACTTACGGAGGAAATAGGTTTTCGATTTTTTTGTGTAGCGAAAATCCATTTCCTGCATAACCTAGAAAAAAGAATAAGGAATTCTTCTGGAAGTATATATTTTTTCTTCTGTTTATTAGTCTAAATGCACGAAAAACGACCAAATAACGACCCCCTTTCAGCAGACTTAATAAAAACGTGTTCCTACAAGGTTCTAACATTTGTCACCTTAAAATAATTATGAATGAATAAAATATAGAATAAAAAGCGTCGCCGAAGCCTTCCTAATAATAATTTTAAATTTCCGTTGTTCATCGTCTGCCGGTGCAGCACTACAATTGTACAATATTAGTTATTATTGCATACAACTTTTTGCTCAATACTCCAAAGCTTGTAGTGTAAAGCACTATGTTCAATATTATACTATGGGTGATGGTTATCGATTGAGCACGTTATATCTTTTTGGTCGAACGATTAAGCACACTTAAAAATTCACTAAGAACTTTCCACCTACTCAAAAAACGAATATTATTTATTAATATATTGATCACGATATCACGTGCAACGTCGGCATATATGATATAATTTATTTAAATACTAATATTGTGTTATGGGATATGACTTGAACACATTCACAAGTCAACTTTATGTCTTCATCAGATAATGAAAGATAATTTTATTTATATTTCTGATATACAATCAACCAATCAGGGATGGGCAAGTAACTCGATTAGTTGTGACTAGTTGCAAGTTATATAGTTATAGACTTACAGTAGTCACTATAGTCCGTTCTTTGGTTACATTTAAAATTATAAATTGACTAACTATTTCTTCAAAAGTAAATAATAATTTTTCTAAATAATTGTTTGTGAGCTGGGTTAATGAGAAAATGTATTATGAACGTAAGTGGTAACTGAACATTAAAATTATTAACATTTGATAATTGATATTATAGTGTATACAAACATTGAAGGTTACCAAATAGAGAATTGTGGCTGTGTATTATTCAAAAACCAATATTCTAAAACTTTTCTGGACAGTTTGACTCCGGTATATTATCGGTTCGCGGAATAGACCTAAAGATCCTAATTAATAATTAATATAAGTTTGTGGTTCGTTATTATTGGGAATTTTAAGTTTTTTGGTTTTTGGGTCATTAAGCTAATATCGCTAGTGATCTATTTAACATTATCATATAGGTACAAATGCCTAAAATCGAGAGACAGCTGGCCCGGTAAAAACCGATGGTTATAGTGTTTTTCCAGTCTTATACTCTTGTCCAGTGTAATAATTGGACATTCAATTTTTGGTATCATGTAATAACTAAGTTGCAACCGGGTGTAAGAAGAATTGACTACAGCTCAACTTTTAAATCCTATTAGTTATCATCAGTTATAACCATATAGTTACCACGCCCTCGCACGACACATGACGTAGCTGAGATTCTGGCTTTAGACTTAATATAATATGATTAAAACTATTGATAACTAAATAATTATGCATAAAAATAAAAACTTTAACTAATTACATCATTATTCTCAATTACCTAAAATAGCATTCAGCGGACAGTCGTTATAAACATATGTAATATATTTATCTATATTATGCCGTGACTCATAATAATATATTTATTTTCCTTTTTATTTTTTTCATATAATTGTATTGCATTTTTGAATTATAATATTATTATATTTTAACAAGTAGCTATGTACAACAGGTATTTTATTTTATTAGATACCAGAAACATGAACTCACGACAGTTGTATACCTAAATAGCCTATCCATAACGCCGTGTAATCATAATTATATTACGAAATAGTAAACTTGTATCTATATTGTATTTTATGGTTGTGGCTAGTAAATTATTTAAACTAAATCATTGTTATTGATAGTATATATAAATATATTACAACAACCATACGATTTGCACTGAACCTAAATCATAGAAAGTAAAGGGACATGTCCCCTTTATAAAATAATGAAGTACTCAAAAAAAGTAATATATCCTTTGAATCATCCATATACTTATTTTATCTTTCATACCATATTTGATGAAATAGAAATTTGCTTTCTTATCACTTCATCAGTGAACCCATTTTAATGTGTTCTTACAGAATAATAGGTTTTTAGTATATTGTTTAATTCCCTCCCCCCCCCCAACTGAAAATTACCCTATAGGCACCCATGAATTATAATGTGCATAACCCAAGTAATGGTGATTTATAATATAAAAGTCAAAGACATGCGGTTTCCTCAATACAATACATTTAAGTTAAGAGGATCGGTGGCGGACAGTTTTTAAGGGGTTTGAAATAGGCAATTTTAAAATTGAATGCATGCGGGTCTGCAATGTGTGAGTAGTAAGTGATCATTGTGTGTGTCCGAGTAAAAGAAATAGCGGGGCTCTCCCTACGTGGCACGTGCATGTACAAGTCTCGGCGTTCCGCGCGTGATTGGTAAACAATTTATTCTCATTTGTATGTACTTTTTGTCCATCCTACCGAATGCCAATCGACTTAATAGTTAATAATGCTATAATATTTCAGAAAATTGATCTGGAATCTTTATAATGTCTACTTGAGATCGGTCGGTCCACGTTTGAAGATTTCTGATTTAAATTCCGAAATTTCAAAATATTCGAACTCAATTTATAGTTTTTGGTGGTGGGGTAGTTTTCAAAAATATTATCGCATTACTTGGTTCGAACATATTAATGGACATAAGATTGTTATGTTTTGGATAAAAAATAGTTGATCGCCACCAATCCCTTTAAAAGTATAAATTGTCTATAAGATTTTTAATATCCATTCTTAAGGTTTGAAAACTCAGTACAATATTTCTCATAAGTTTCTTCTATCACCGTTTGAATATATATGTATGTCAAATAATAAGTACACTTTTTTCATGGGCATTTAAAATGTATTATATACTAACAAAATTTAATATTTAAACAAAAAATAAGTTATTTTGTTCTATTATGTTGGAATTAAAAAAATATTATCTGTAGAAACTTCAAACTTTTTACTATTTATTATTATTTACTATACAGGTACATTGTATTATGTTATTTATGTAAATTGTATAAATATGTCATTTTAATATTAAATCGTATTATTAGATTGCATTTCACCTTTTTTGAAAGTCTTTACCGGGAATCAATTCGGATGTCTACTTTTAGCTATGGGAACCAATTCAGATGCAATCCAGCACATTTGCGCCAGAATAAATAGGTATGTTTTTCCGACAGCTCATTATTTGTGTAAATATTTTATAATAACGACTAAAGATTAAAAAAACTTTAGAATTGAATATTATAAAAACAACAGTTAATGCGTTATGAATATGTACAGATAGTTGCATTTAATTACAATAAAGTTTAGGATGTTGTAGGAAAAACTGATTATAATTATAAGAAAACAATTGTATAGGTAAATGACTATTATTTGAAAAATGAGTATTATTTAAAAAAAAAACATTCCTTTTTATTGGTCGCATTTTTAAATTTTAATAATTAGCTTGTGTTCATAACTTATATACAAATGAAAATATCATAAAATACCTAACTTAGGGGAACGAGTAAAATGTTGTGTAATGGTATTTTCAAAATAGTGATAATATTATTATTTTAGGGGAGGCCAAATTTGAATTTTCCTTGTGCACTATTTTTGCTTGAGCCGACCCTGGTTTTAAGTGGTAATGTTAAATAAAGTCCTATTGTTGATTAATGCATAACTATAATATTAAATAACAATGACTAAAACAAATTAATAATATTTCCCAATATTTATTCTAAAATCAATTTTTATGTTTTTCTTTCCCTTTAGCCTATACTTTCATTTATACTCAAAATACTTTTTCATGAAAAATTACACTCAAATTGTATATTCTGTTCAATATAAATGTTACTATGAATATTAAAATACTTGGACATAGGACATGATAAATCCAAAGAAAAATTTTAAAGCATATTCATTGTCTTATCCAACTTTCACACGTTTTGTTTTTCGAATATTTTATGATTCTCTTTCCTAATAATAATAATATTATATTCAATTAAATTCCATTAATATTATGAAAAAGGGGTATGCAACGCCATCTGTGTAGACAATGACAAACTTTTTCCCGCTTTAATTCGTCTTATCGGTTGATAACGTCAGAATGAAAATAATGTGACAATATTCTTATTGTTATTCATTTAATATTTTAATTTCAAATTTCTCAGCTCAATTCCTTATTAGTTATTATTTATTATGTAAGTACGTAACCCTGAAATTCGAGTTGAGACATCAACATAAATGTTCATTTTTAATTTGACATAATTCCCGTTCTTCGGTAGTTTTTTTACACTTTATAAATCGTGTTTGTTCAAGTTTTGACCAGTACATATTGTTTTGTATCGTTATTTAACCTAATTAATTGAAATAAACTTTTCTATCTTCGTTTATGTTTGAATATTATTATCTTTAATGATGTCGAACACTAAATCTGACGATCGTCCTTTGTTCACATACACAATCGGTGGGGTCAAAATTGAAATGCCCGTCAGACCATATCCTTCTCAGGTTTCCATGATGGATAAGGTAAACATTTTAATTATGTACAAGCAGAACATATCCTCTATCCATTAAATTTCTTTTTAGGTTATTCGTGGTTGTCAAAAACAGCAAAATTGTCTTTTGGAAAGTCCTACGGGGTCTGGAAAAACATTGGCTTTATTGTGTTCGGCGTTAGCATGGCAGAGAGCAGAAAAAGGTTTGTGACTATTAGTTCTGAATTATTCATATTTTAGTGCAAACATTAGTGCCTTAAAATGTGTATATGATAGCACTTTGTTGTATACTAATATTGTAGTCATAACTTATAAGTGTGTGCAAACGTTGTAGACAGGGTGGTCATAGATAGTATAAATATTAGGTACAGGGTCGCCATTTCAGTTTTTTTTCTGGATGTGCAAACTTTTAGGCAGGTCAATTTTGACATTTGACCAGGCCATTAATAACAAAATATTTATATGCATAAATGTAGGTAACCTATGCAAACCTATGCAAATATTCTTTCCATTCCTTTTATAATTCTAATTGAAACTTTTAAATAGCTAGAAATTCAAAGAATTAAAAGCTTATAAGCAATTAAAGCAACCAGCCAAAACCATTTCACTATTATTTGAAAAAAAAAGCAAATAAGGTATAATCAATAAACCTGATAAGCCAAAAATATACAAAAACTTGAAAAAAAAAAAATTTTATTTATATTACCTAAATATGAAATTATAATGTATGAGTTAATTATGACGGCGCATTGGAGTATTAATGGCTAGCCAATTGTTAATATTTTTTTAAGTTAGTGGTGACGTTGCACACCCTGCTCCTCTCCCCCAAATGACGCTCCTGATTAGGTATTCACATCTAAACTTATACATTTGATTAAACCACTATTTAGGAAAAGCAACGGGAATACAATTTTTTGAACCAATACCACTATTACCATCAAAACAATATATTATCACTTAAAAATCTTGACTATTATTTATACAAATTTACTGTAACCTGTGAATTATGGTACTACAGGTTACTATAAAAGTCACTATAGCCACACTCTTATACAAAATATGTATAAAATAAATTATAATTTTAAATGATATATTTTTACAAAATGAAATGTTAACAATTGCCTACCTTAGTATATAAGCAGTAAACCATTGTTTATTATTGTGCAACATATCTATTACACCTCTATTATATTATACATTTTAACACCTTATATATTAGTTTACAGAGTAGTCAACCTATCCTGACTATATCATGCACGCGGTAATGTACCAAGGTCCATGAATACAATTATAATATTCTATACATTTCTTTCTCTTCTCATTTTCTTCTTACATTTCTTAAGTGCCTGATAAAACTTACTGTTAATATTTAAATAAAATTATTTAATTGATTGATTTCAATTATAGGTACGTTTTTCTCTTTCTGATTTAAGTTTTCTAGTTAATAAATATATAGTCATATATGATGGTACCATTTTATACGGGGTGTAAATATGTTACTGAAAATAGTGTTTTTATGATGTAACTTTTTGCATAAATTGCATAAACTGTGCACAGTCATTACTGCAGGTTGACTATCTTGTGAATATTTTTTTTTTTGGTATATCATGCACCTACATAATTTTGGATAATAATACTTATATTAGTTATAAATTACCTATTTTGTATCTTATATATTCTTGTCTCCTGTCTCTATAGTTACGTAATGTAGTGTCATAATTCATAATATAATGCAGAAAAATGAATAGAAATAAAATAAAAAGAGTAAAAATAATGATTATTTTATGATTTGATGTGATGTTGAAATTAATATGTATGTCAAATAGTTAGTGATTAAAAAAAAATATTACCTCTGCCAAATAGTTGGAACAGAACTTAAGTATAAATGTGAATACTTATATTATGTATGACTACTCTGCCGATAATATTTGCATGAACTAACGAGTAATAGCTTAGTTTAGTGTATAATAAGTACTTACTGGAATTTATTGTGATTTAGATTTGTTTTTATAATTTTTGGGTAGAGTATTAAATGACTTTTGTATGCTGAACATTTTTTATGACACATGTCAAGAAAGTTCATAATGCACCTCCTACACCTGTTATAGGCTATACAAATGCATTAAATAACGGTTAGGTATAATAACTATTCTATTTTAAATAACTACTTTTACTGATACATTTTGATCATACATCTATTATTATTTTATTTAATATTATATCCCATAAATAGTGATAATTTTACAACGTATGACCTTCTATCAGTTGAGAATCTCTAACAAATAGTTTGTTGTTTATCATATTCAGATAAAAATAATATAATATAGAATGAATGGTGGTTCTATGGCTGTAAGTATTTAGTAATAGTAGTAGTAATTACTAACATAAAAATATCAAAGATTTATTATAAATAAAGTGTATACCACAAAAAATTACTTATGTATCCATCAACAGAAAAAAAAGTAAGAAGTATATGTATACTATATAAAATATTCTACCCCCTTGGTATTTGTCAAGAATCACCCCTGTTTTTAATTGGTATTATATTGTTTGAGAGTCAAATTACATTTGTTTTAGAGAAAATGTGTATAAAAATAAGTAGCTTTTGACACATTGTGATTAAAACATCTATAATTATTTGGTTATTCAAAGAATTATAATGTTATTTTTATTGAATCATTAGACATGATCATGGCTTTAGATAGTACAATCAACACCCGCAGGTATGACTTAATGATCATTTCATTTAACATTATTGATTCTAAATTTAAGTATGATCCATCTACAATCCACCCATCTTTTGATCTGTTGGTTAGAATATTTCAGTTATCTCACCTAAGATACCATCTCTAAAAAAGTATCACTAGTATCCATTAAAATTTTTTTTTTTTATCAATTTCGGTTAAATATTGTTAGTTGCCATGCAATGTTTAACGGCTTAACACTTAATAAAACTAATAAACTAATAAATAATAGGACATTTTTACTGTGAAAAATATCTTACAAAAAGATTTACCTATGTATATATTATAATATATCATCAAATAATTTTTAATTTTTAATGAACTTTATTATTGTTTGTTATAACTCATTAAATTTTTTATTTGGCGTGTATAGAGTTTTTGAATGCTTTAATGCAGTGTTTCTCAACCTTTTTTAAGTTACCGCCCCCTTGAGTGTCAAACAATTTTTTAACGGCCCCTACAATGTGAGAATTCTATAATAAGGGTTAGGTTAAGGGTATTTGGAAAATTTAAAAGAAAAAATTGAAATTATCTAATAACTCATGTTTTTATTTATTTTTTATATTTGATATATTTTTTATTTATAGTTCTAGTATTATGGTAATCTACCACCCAAAATTAGTTCACCGCCCCCCTACCACCCAAAACTAGTTCATTGCCCCTTGGTGACATTTTACCGCCCACTGGGGGGCGATATTGCCCCCGTTGAGAACCACTGCTTTAATGTGTTGTCTTGGGGTGGTATAAATCTTTAATGTAATTTTTATTTTGTAATTTTCTTCATAGAAATCAATTTAATTATAATAAAATAAATATAAGGGAATGTGACAAATTAATTCACTGATAAACGAAAGTATAATTTTTGATTTGATTTAATATAATAATATTGTTGATTTTAAGTAAAGAAAATTTAAAAATCTGTTGTCTTTAGGTTAATATGATGAATTCATTTTTAAAAATTGGTTTTATTTTCTCTACTGAAATGTTTATTTTAACAAGAGCTCTATAATTACACTCACTATATTAAAAAATACAAACATTCTTTCCTCAAGTTAAATTTATCACTGATATATCTTTTTGTTCTTATGATAAAAAATCAAACATTAATATGAACTCTTTGAGTTGCACCTGAATGTTTTATTTGCTTATGACCTCTACTAGTCACTAGGTACTTTAAAAATAATCTCTAACAGTATTTAAAATATATAACATATTACCCATTATAACTGGTGTATCCCAACGGTATAAGTTGATGTTTTTGTTTTGTGTAACCAATATTTAGAGGTTGTCAGAATAATATTCGTTTTTTTGTTATGATTCCTGAGTAGTTTTAAATTAAAATCATCTGTTACAAAAAATTATAGACTATAATATTTTTGAGAGTTTGACATATCAATTTTATATTTCATTATTATTTAACTTTATTAAAATATTGATTTTGAATGCATTTTGTCTAACAAACAATACGCTTACATCACTTAAAGAACATTTTTTTTTCCGTCAATAAAGTAATATAACAAAATTGTTAAGTGTTTTTAGTTATTTATAGCAATATTAACATATTATTATACATTTAATCATAATACATACGATTTCAAGATAGAATAGGTATGTATAATTACAATTGAGCCAGCAATTTTGACTCAGCAGATAAACATTTTGAAAACTGAGATAACTTAACTCACTACTCAGCGGCTATAGTTTCCCCCTTTTTTCGGTTAAAATCTTTGACGTGAATTGTGAATACGATGGCAAAAACCACTGTTCGTTCGAAATTTTGATTTAAGAATCTCATTATTATTTGTGCTTTCGATAGGCAACTCAATGTACACGTTTGGTTTCAAATAGGCTAATATATTTACTAGGAGTAAAGTTATACAACCATTGTTTTAATACATGATTATGAAATTAATTATCCCCCCACTCTTAAGAAAATAATAATAGTACAGTCCGTATTATTAAGAGGATACCCTTGCGTTTATTTTCTCTGTCTTACAAACGTTCGACATAACAAATTTTGTTCACTAGTTACAATAGTGTACTGTTAGTTTTGATATTGGAGTGAATTGACTAATTATACAACTTTTAGGTATGAATATTATCTGTGCTTAAGCGTTAGATTTTATATGGTATTTAAATTATCAAGCGAGATATGATTATTTTAGGTTCTGAGTGGAGCGATGAATGCTTATTTTACAATGTGTGTTTTTTTATGACTGTCATCTCTTTTTGGGACAGTAAAAATGCTTTGATTTTTATTAAAAACATCTTTTCTGGTAGGAAAATTAAACTAGTTGGTCAGGGAAAAATTGAAATAATTACGAAAAAATTGTTTTTGTTTTTTAGTAGGTATAACTCTAAAAAAATTACCGTAGATACATGAAATTTTCATTGAATGTTTATATTAATAATTTCTTTGCACCATAAACAAATAAATATTGTTTTATTATTTTTGGGCT